ATCATCATCATCATCATCATCATCATCATCATCATCATCATCATCATCATCATCATCATTAAAACATACATTAAAACATGAATAAAATTTGAAAATTCAACAAGTCTCAACCCTTTTTTATTCCTTGATATCATCATCATCATCAGCATCAGCATCATCATCATCATCATCAGCATCATCATCAGATTTACGGCAGACATCGGAGATCAGGGTTCTCTATTCATTCCTTTGCTCGGATGACCTTAAAAAAGTTACGTTTCCCTGATCTTTTCCCCTTACCCAACAGTTTAGGTTCACTAAGTAGGTTGCTCTGGGCCTACCCCTGCCTCGCTTGTCTCCAATTTTGCCAGTGAGAGCTAGACGTTCTAGACCTTTATGTCTATTAAGGTGTTCCAAAAACTGCACAATTTGTCTTTTCCTTATTATTTTTTATAAGTGTGGGTCCCAGGTTGGCTTCATTTAATTTTCTCTTCCCTCAAAGATATTCTCAGCAGTCTCGTAAGAAACCACACTTCTGTTGCTTTTATTTATTTTCACTGGTTTTAGCTATTGTGCAGCATTCACAGCGAAATAGAAGTGTTGACCGCATATAGCATTTCAGAACTTTCATTGTGATGTAATTATATTATTGAAATAAAAAAAAACCTCAAACAACAACCATCATCTTTTCCCTAAAGTTTAAGAAAAAAGATGAAGTCAACCAGACAGTATTTGAGTAATGTACTATGGAAACTTAAAGACATCAAGGTGCGTAAAAACGGTTATGTGAAAGCGGGCTCCAAAGTTGAGCAATACTCACACACTCACATGCACACACACACACACACACACACACACACACACACACACACACACACACACATACACACACACACACGCACACTCACGTAACGTCAAATCACTCACACTTCTGAAATAATTAATTTGTTGAAAATGCGTATAGTCGAGAAAGGTTGTTATGTCTACATGAAATGAAACCTAAAATACGAAACATTTCAAGAGATAAGAACAACAACAAAATCCACGGAAGGTCAATATTTTTTTCCCTTTCCGACCTTGTAGCTTGGATAGCCCAGGAAAACTTAGATCTAACACACACACGTATTGTCTTTCCCTCTGTGACATAATAGGTATCGTCTTTCCTTCTGTTACATAATAGGTATCGTCTTTCCTTCTGAGAACTTGCAGGGATTGTCTTTCCTTCTGTGACACATAGTTTTTATTCTGTGACACATAGTTTTTCTTCTGTGACACATAGTAAGTATTGTTTTCCCTTCTGAGTACTAGCATGGATTGTCTTTCCTCTGTGACAAAAAAGCTATTGTGCTTCCTTCTGTAACACATAGTACGTGTTGTTTGTTTCTTTTGTGACACTTAGTAGGTATTGTTTTTCCTTCTGTGACATAGTAACTATTGTTTTTCCTTCTGTGACATAGTAACTATTGTTTTTCCTTCTGTGACATAGTAACTATTGTTTTTCCTTCTGTGACATAGTAGGTATTGTTTTTCCTTCTATGACATAGCAGGGATTGTCTTTCTTCGGTGACACAGAAGCTATTGTGCTTCCTTCTGTAACACATAGTACGTGTTGTTTTTCCTTCTGTGACATAGTAACTATTGTTTTTCCTTCTGTTGTAACACATAGTAGCCTAGCTATTGTTTTTCCTTTTGTGACACACTGCCAGAACCAAACAAACACCCGTACATGCATCTGATCTGTTTATAAGCCAGTTATACAAGCATGACTTCTGACGGGGACACTGGAGTCATTTTCAGAATATCGTTGTTTTTTAAAAAGTAGATGGTTTGCTATTTTTGGCGTGTAGATCGTGCTAGAGTTATCCAACAGCTTCCAAGCACTGCCT